ATTCCCCAGCCAGCCAGGCTGGCTGGGGAATTCTGGGAGTGGAAGTCCACATATCTTAAATTGGCCGAGGTTGAAAAACACTGGCTTAGGACATCATTGTGCCTCTTAAAAAGTAGGGTTCATTAATGGCCTGTCTTAATGGCAGTGATACGATATTAAAATCTAACGTGAGCCAGTAAAACAGATTAATTTTATCACAATTCAGCCAACTATCCCTTAGCATGAAATGTCAACCTAGGCACTAAATTGCACTCTTTAATAGCACACTTATGCATTTATTTATTTATCAGATTTATCCAGCCGCCCATCTCACAAACGTGACACTGGGCAGCACACAGTAAAACCAACAGTTAAAACAAATATTTATCCATTAAAAACAATTAACATAAAATATAAATAAAATCATGGGAGAATGCATCGAAATCTCACATATCTTGTACTGGACCCAAGCTGACATTTTATGCCAAATGATGGTTGGATGAACCTTGGTTGATTGCCTAAACTGCAATTGGCTGTGGCCACACGTTAAGCCATCAATTACGGTTTGCAAACGGCAATGACTGGGTTTGCAACTGGACCTGACTTCTTTCTTTGGCTAGCAGATCTTTTGTCATGAAATGCCATTTTCTCTCTTTCTTTTTGTGGGTCAGTGAAAGCTTTTAAGCAACTCCGCCTGACAGCAAATGATTGTGAAGCTCTACGGCAAAGCCCAGAAGGCACAGCTGCCTTGACACAGCCCCTCACCCAGAGGCCGGGCAGCCGAGATTCCTGTAAAGGCCTTCACCCAATTCCTCGGAGGAAAAAACGTTCCAAAGGTACGATGTGTCCTGATACTTTGCATTTTCTTGCAAGGCTAAGCAGGTGCTTTCCTGAAAAATCAGTTGCTGGTTTCAGAGGGATTTGCTGCACCTGATGCTTTCATTAAAAACAACAAAAGCAGCGTCGTGCTGTTGCAGTGCAAGATGTGCAGTTTGCGTTGCAACGGTATGACACTACGTTTGTCCCCTGTTGACAGCACACACACATACACTGCCCCGTAGTCACTTGGGGCTGGTTCACAACAGGCACAAGTTTTCCACAAAACAGAGCCCAGCCAGACTTCTTAGCCAAGGAAATGTTTAGAACAACAGCTGAAGCACAGTAACATTTCAATTTAACGGACCTTTCAGGGGGAAGGATGTCTGTTAAATCCCAAATGGCTTAATAGAGGTTGTTTCTATTATTCTGTGATTATTTAATAAATTATTATTCCCTTCCATTTGCTCCCCCTACCTCTATCCTAAATATTTTACATCAGTAGCATAATTATGCAACTGCTTAAATTAATGCAAATGACATAGATGACAGCAATTGTCTTCACTGTTGTGGAAACAGGAAACGTGGTTTGGTAATGACATTTTAACTAAAATTTTGTCTGTGGCATTGTTCTGGGGGTAAAAATTTGTTTTGGATTTGTTTACAAAACAACAAAGTTGTTGAATTGTCTAGAGAATCAAGGTTTTACTCTAACCATTCCATCCATGCTTTGGGAATTATACAAAACTGATGAAATAAGAACAAAAACTAACCACAGGAGCTCTTTGGGCAGGGTCAGCTAAAACTTTGTTATGGCCAGCAAAACAGACAAACCAGCATACTGAGAAATACAAAACGAAACAAGGTTGAAAAGGGTAGAATTTGATCTTTCGGAAACATCTTCTGTTGCATTCTGGAAGCTAAGTAGCCAAACCAGGCAATATTATAGATGACCAGAAAGTTTTTGTTGGCTTGTAGAAAACCTACATATAGTAATAATCATCTGACTGTCCTGGAATTGTTAGAAAGGAGAGAATTAAATTTTAACATAAGCCTCAATACAGTTTTCAGTGTGGAAGCACATGAGTGATAGTTTCAACTTTTCCCATGCCACAAGAGCAGAGGAGGCAAGTCAGAAGAATATTATAGTATCTCCCTTGTAGTAGTGCAAAGAGAAGTGTGCTGAAAATGCACAGCGGTATTTTGAGTTGACCAGTGTGTCAAGATTCCATCATGTTCCCATCACATAAAATTGGGGTCCTTAAAAAGCTGGCAAATTTGCATCTTAAGTGTTGCAGAACCTTATTCCTTGTTATGAAAACATCTTGCAGTGGGCAGTTCTGGTCAACCCCCACTTCAAACTGCAAAGCATCAGAAAGTGTGGAAGTTTGCATTCTCGGCTTTATTTCGATCCCGTGATGTTCAGTCCTTGATGACATCTGTATGTCAAATCACCCCAAGGAGTTAAGAGATTGGAATTTTTCCTGTGATTTGAACACAAATCCTTGTTATCTCCAGTTATCCTTGAGGATTACCCTGAAAAGAGATGAACCAGCATCTACAGGAGTTGTGTGTCAAAATTGGAGTTGGACAGAGCCACACAATTCAAGACTCGCAGATGTGGGATGCAACACTCTGTCATGTTGCTGTTTTTTTTTAATTTAAGCTTTTACAGATTTTTAGAAAGTTGAAGATACAAGGCACAAAGTAAGAAAAACAACTGCCAATAAAGCATGAGCAAAAAATTATAGAAAAATGTTTAGAGATGCATTCTGCACTTCCGCCCAGAGTTGTAGAGAGATGGGCAGCATGCAAGTTTAATGCATTTAATAAATTATTATTTAATAATAATTTAATAAATTATTATTGCCTTCCATTTGTTTCTTCAACTGCTATCCTAAATATTTATATTTATTGAACATTGAAGGTTATTGCTTGTATCTGTTTAAGTTATTTCATCTGCTATTTTTGACTGGTGATTTTGAGTGCCCCCCCCCCCCACTGCAGACTCCCTTGCAGCCAGCCACTCAGATGTAAGTGGCCAACCATTTATTATTTCTGTGTCAGAACAGTGGATAATAAAAGCAGCCATAAACTCTGTGATAAATGATACATTAAATCAATATACAGCAATATTCAATTAAAAATGTAAACATTCATTAGAAAGGTGGATGAAGGGGAAACGTTCTTCTAACGTTCATTCTGGGAAAACTTCTGAAAGCATCTGAATCCTAGATTGACAGATTTATCTGTGAGATGTCTGCCTGCAGGCTGCATTTTCCTTCAACCCAAAGGCGGAGTCTAGCTGTTTTACAGGGAAAAGTGTTGTTAAGGTATTTGAGGACTTGGCATAGTCTTCCTTTGACTGCTAAGAGGTCCCCATCAGCTCCAAACTCTTTCCTGTCTGTTCTTTAATGTGTCATGAAGAGGATTCAGTTCCAACAGAAACTTCCACTGAGCAATGGTTCTCAGTACCTTCTTGCTTGTTCATTCATCTGCTTGCTCCACTGTGAAGGCATTTGGTGGTTTGGGGCCAATGGCAAGGGGTCTTCTCGACCTGCCCCACAGAGCAGTGAGCAGAAGATGAGGAGAGGATGGACTGGAGACTGTGGAAGAGGGAACATACCACCTGGAGTGAGCAGCTGAATGGACTTTCCCTCCTGGGATCCAGAGGTTTGGTGCTACCTGAGAAGGAGAGCCCCGCCCTTTCCTTCATGGGAGAGTTTGTTTTATAAAAAGGGAACCAAAAGCAGGTATGTATGTGTGGGTGTGTCAAGTCAGGAGGACAGCAGAAATTTGGGAAAAGGAAATCTTTAACCCAAAGGCCAGCACCTCAGCAGTAGTCTTCAGACAGCAAGAGAAGACTTCAGATCTTGGAGCTACAAGACCATTGAGAGACGGGGAGGAAAGGAGCCCGACTAGAGTCTGCAAACCCACAAAAACTTGCAAACTGAACCAAGCCCACTGTGTGTAGCAGCCCAGGTGCAGAGCTCTACAAACCAGCTGCAGAAACAGAGGATTGGGAGTGCTGGGGGGGGGGGGGGCCCATTTGCAAGTCTGTAGAGGAGTGAAAAGGATGTTCAGGTGCAAATGGATTGAGATTGGATACAAGAGTGAGGACCTGGGGGAAAAGGAAAGATTTAAAGAGCTAAGAAATAGTTAAGATAAGAAAACATAGCACTACAAAAATAGAAATAGGAACATAAAAATAGAACAGAGATAGAAATTTATAGATTAAATAAGAATAGCAATAGTTGTAAACTTATAGTAATAGGAAGGTAATAGAATAATATAGGAGTTTAATTTTGTACAATAAAACAGTTTTGTGTGGGAAAAACTAATAGTCTGTGTTCTGTACTATATTAAAAAAAAAACCCTGACAGAGACCATCACTGAATCCTGATGACAAGTCAGAACGTGGACCAGGTGAAGCTGTTCTTTGAAAATGCTGTAATTGTCTTCTCTTTCTGTCTCTGTTGGATGCACAGGCCACCAAAGGACCATCACAGATTACTTCAGGAGGAAATCACACATCTCAAAATGCTCAAATGACATGGCAGAAAGCAACAAAATCAAAGTTGAAGAGCCTCTGGAGAACTTTGCTCTTGACTGGGACTCAGACGAGACTTGCATTCTTCTTGGAGATGAAGGAAATGAATTGATGACCCCCAGGAAACGGTTTTGTTTCTCCCAGAGCACTAGTGACTGCTATGGAAGTGCTGGCCAAGGGGTCCCAGAAAATAAACCATTGCTGGTGGGGCTTCCTGAACAGAGCTCAAGTGATGGAACTGTTAAACAGGAGGTTCAAGATGTGGAGGTTGATCCTCTTCCTGATGCGCATTTTGGGCTCTTAGGAACTAGAACTGGTGATGTACCTCAGGGAACCATTGAGGAACTGCCGGATGAAATCCTCCAGCAGATATTTGCCCTGGTGCCTGTAGTTGATCTTCTCCAAAACCTCTGTCGGGTGTGTCATCGTTGGAAATGTATAATCTCTGACATGAAGGTAAGTGATGCCTTTATCTCAGGACTGATGGACAGGATCCAGTGCAGACATAGTCTCCCTTGCAGGGTTTCTTCCCATGATCCAACTATATTATTGTCAGGAACGCACCCCTGTTTGAAATCCTTTTCCATTTGGCAACTGTCCTTTAGATTCTAGGGAGACGTCATCTCTGAAGTCATCAGAAATACTTTGAAGTCATCTCTGCCAGGTAGCTGGTTAGGCCCACCTGCGTCTTTCTCAAAGGACTCCAAGTCCTGGAGTGCCAGCTTCAAGGGCAAACAGATAGGGAATCACTACTTCACTTGAGCAGATCTAGAGCAGATGAGAAAGATCTATTTGGAAACATCTTGAAAACAGCGTGGCAGTTGTCAGAAGTCAGCATGGATTTGTCATGCCAAGTTTATCTGCTTTTTAACTGAGTATACATTTGTTAAAGTGGGTAGACATTCTTAATTTGAATAGACATTTTCATTTGGGTAAACCTGACCTGTAAATGTAATATAACTTGACTCTAGCAAGGTACTTGACAAAGTAACATATGACAGGCTGATTGGTGAGGTAGATAAGCAGGGGTGTCTTCAGGAAGGGTCACAAAAGTCAAGATGGCGGCCACGAGAGCACAAATGAAGCCCTTTTCTCCTGCAGTTGACATAAAAAATGGGTGAAGCTTCAGTCAGACATCATGATCACTATCTTGATTTTTTGTGTGTGCATGTGTGATGGCATGACTGTTTGTAGCATTTTCTGCCCTGGCACCCCTACATGGCCTTACCTGTCCACAGTGGAGTCACATCAGATGGGACACAAGTCCTTTGGACATGACTGTGTGATTGATGCCTCAATCAACCCGTCTTGACCTTTTTGACTTCACTCTGTGGGCACCCTTGTATATAACCTAACTCACGGTTCCT